GATGGTGTGATAAAGGACCATCTAGAAAGTAAGCATACACCTGATCTGAAATAAAGAATATTATACAGACTCCCAACAGCAAACCAGAGGAGCGCAAGAATCAAGTCAAAGATTTGAAATGCGAAGAAGCGAGAAACACCCAACCGGAAAAGCAAAATGAAAAAAGAACCCAAAAATACGAAGATAGTGTAAGGAGCCTCTGGGACAGCTTCAAACGTACCAACATCAGAATTATAGGGGTACCAGAAGATGAGAGAGAGCAAGATATTGAAAACCTATTTGAAGAAATAATGACAGAAAACCTCCCCCACCTGGTGAAAGAAATAGACTTCCAAGTCCAGGAAGCACAGAGAACCCCAAACAAAAGGAATCCAAAGAGGACCACACCAAGACACATCATAATTAAAATGCCAAGAGCAAAAGACAAAAAGAGAATCTTAAAAGCAGCAAGAGAAAGAAACTCAGTTACCTACAAGGGAATACCCATACGACTGTCAGCTGATTTCTCAACAGAAACTTTGCAGGCCAGAAGGGAGTGGCAAGAAATATTCAAAGTGATGAATAGCAAGAACCTACAACCAAGATTACTTTATCCAGCAAAGCTATCATTCAGAATTGAAGGTCAGATAAAGAGCTTCACAGATAAGGAAAAGCTAAAGGAGTTCATCACCACCAAACCAGTATTATATGAAATGCTGAAAGGTATCCTTTAAGAAGAGGAAGAAGAAGAAAAAGGTAAAGATACAAATTATGAACAATAAATATGCATCTATCAACAAATGAATCTAAGAATCAAGTGAATAAATAACCTGATGTACAGAATGAACTGGTGATTATAATAGAATCAGGGACATAGAAAGGGAATGGACTGACTATTCTTGGGGGGAAAAGGGGTGTGGGAGATGCGGGAAGAGACTGGACAAAAATCGTGCACCTATGGATGAACACAGTGGGTGGGGAGTGAGGGCGGAGGGTGGGGTGGGAGCTGGAAGGAGGGGAGTTATGGGGGGAAAAAAGAGGAACAAATGTAATAATCTGAACAATAAAGATTTAATAAAATAAAAAAAAGAAAAAAAAAAAAAAAGAAGGGAACATGGAGTTTTGGACACGGAGTTTGAGGGGCCTGTGAAATATTAAGTGAAGATGTCCAGGCAGCAGGATAGAGTACAAAAGAATATTTGAGAATCATCCACATAAAGACGGAATTGAGGCCTGGGGAGTATGAAGTACGACGCCCAGGGTGAGGGTAAGAGAGAGGATGAAAGCGACAATACTGCAACGGTTAGGGGAACGTGAGAAGAGAGAAAAGGGAAATTTTTAGTTTAGGTAAAACCGTGGTTTCCCCTTTTATTTACATACCAAACAATAAAGATTAAGTAAATCAGAAGGACTGATGAGAAAAGACAAACATAGACAATAATTTATGAGTCTAAGATTGAATACCAATGAAAAGGTAAAGGGAAGCTTTAAGTCTGGCGTTAGAAGAGGTGGCCTAGTTCGTGAAGATGTTCAAACGACTGTCCTTCAATGGCACCTTGCCTCTCTTCTTGCTTAATTTGCCTCTTTCATCAGGATGTCTTACGTGCCAGAGGTACTGTTGTTGATACAGATTCCAAAGACAAAGGACCAGATGCACAAATGCACTTAGATAATAATGGCATTCTGAAAAAGCTAAGAGTGACTGGTTTCTTCCCTTGACCGAAATGAACTACCAGCACCCTTGACAATGAAGTTATTCCTTGAATATCAGCTCTTACAGTGTCACTCTACAAATCAGTAAGGACAGAAACTTTTATCAGAAAGCCTTCTTTGCAGTCTCATCTTATAGAAGAAAACATTAAAACAGGATATAAGCCCAAAGACACCATCAGGGAGTCTTACGTTTTTAACTCTACAGAGTAACGCAAAAGGAGTTCCCAAGCAACCAGTTTCAAATGGGCTCTTCAGTCACGTGACTAGACCCGACCCCTGACTCTGCTACCGAATCTTGGGTGAGCTTCTTAAACACCAAAGACATCATCTGCGAAACAGGGATAGCACCTACATCACGGACTGACTGAGAGGATCCAATGAGACAATGTGACAGTTTTATTATCTTTCTTAAAAATTAAGGCAACTCATCCATAGATATTTTCTCTACTTCTATTGCGTATAAAGAAGTGTAGACCCTAGATGTATAAGACATGTGAGGAAGCGACAAAAATGCTAAAAACCAAGGTACCATGTGAACAGATAGAATCAGACATAAAATAACAATATTTAATACTTATTGGGTGCTTATTATTTGTATTATTAATAAATACTAAGTCCCGCACACACAGAGTGCTTCCCATTCACTAGCTGCTGCTCCTGTCACAGGTCGGCATTATTCATACCCCCCCCCATATCCTTACCCATTTCAGATGTCCTAAGAAGACACTATGTACAGCAGTGTGGTGTAGAGATCAGAGCAGTTCAGGTTACTCCACGCGACAGGTGAACAAAAGTGAACAAATGCTTTGGATGTGTTAGGGGTAACATCCTCTACCTTACACAGTCCTGATGAGAATTACACTAAAGGTGATCATGGATGGGAAAGTGTTTTATACTGAAGTATTCTATACTAAAGGTGATCATGAACAAGAAAGTATTCTATACTAAAGGTGATCATGAACAAGAAAGTATTCTATACTAAAGGTGATCATGAACAAGAAAGTACTTTGTGAGCCATAAAAAACTGTACGTATGTAAGGTATTATTGGATGAACAAACACAGGTATGCAAGTGTCTGAAAAGCAAAACACAATTGTTAACTGATTTAGAGTCACATGCCCAACCCTGACTCTGGGACTGTTTATAATCCATAGGTTGAGACGCCTGCCCTGTGGGGAAACTTTTCTCTATAGTTACCGGAACATTCACACAGTAAAACTGACTCATGTTCATAAGCACACACTTACTTTGACTATGGTTTTAGGGCGTTTTTTAAAAAATAGTTTTGGCTTTTCAACCACAGGAAGAGGTGGGAGTTTCTTAAGCTCCTGTAAGACGGTGGTCGCAGCGCGCTTCTTGGAGAGCTTTTTGCTATTTCCCTCGCCTTCTGCAGAGAACTCTCCCACGGACACCCGCGTAACAAAGCTTTTCATATGTGGTGGTCCGCTTTCTTTAATGACCTATAAAGTAAAAATACAATAGTAAATAACATACAGGCACACTTAGAGTATGTCCTTATAGCATGGATCTTTCTTAATGTTCCTATCATAATCAAAATAGAAATGAAGAATGATGCCAAAATTATAGGTTTCTTTAATAAACCTATTAGAAAGGTATTATATAAGAACTATTCAGTTACAATATTTACAATGCATAAGAGACTGAAGTTGGGCGAACAGAAATCTAAGTAAACACATTCAATTCACACTCAAAATTATTTTTTACCCATTTTAAAACAGACAATTCTCATTATGGTTACCATCTTTTCTTTTTAAAAAAAATTTTTAGCCCAGCCAGCATGGCTTGTGGTTGAGCGATGACCTATGAACCAGGAGGTCAGGGTTCAATTTGGGTCAGGCCACATGCTTGGGTCGCAAGCTCCATACCCAGTAGGGGGTGTGCAGGAGGCAGCCGATCAATGATTCTCTCTCATTATTGACGCTTTTATCTCTCTCTCCTCCCTTCCTCTCTGATATCAATAAAAATATGTATTTTTTAAAATCTTGTTTTATGTTGATAGTATTATAGACATCTCCTTTCTTCCAATGATTACTCATTTCTTATAGAACAGAAAATTAAGAACGTAAAATACATCACATTATATTAGGTACACAGGGCACTGAAAATGATACGTGTACGGTATTGCATTTTCTCTGGAAGAGTACGTTCCTGGAGGATGGGGACCACGTCTTAAGAGAGTTCTACCAGCCATCCCGCATCCTGCATGGGGAAGCCGCTCAAAAATAACCATTTTTGACATAAACCTTCAAAGGCTGTTTTATAGAAAGGAATGTTTACTCTCTGACATGATCTTTAAAAGGTTAGTCGATATGCCATAAAAACTCCTCGCTTCCTAGGGTTATGGATTGTGACTCTGTCAGCTGTGGATGCTCCCAAACCCTGTACCAATGTGCTCACTTAAAGTAAGACAACTTTCGAGGAAAGATGCCTCCCCAAACCTGAGTGCTCAAAACTTCCGTCTCCTTCACAGTTTTAAGCTATAAAAGGTACCCTACTGAGTTCAACAGTTTCCTATTTAACAGCATATTAAAAGTTTGTCTTTTAATACTGGATGCCAATGAGGAAAAGAAAGCAATAGTTCAGTAATTCAACAATGCTAGGGATAAGGAACTTACAATAAGCATGCTTTCCAAGTAATTTAAGTTTACTAGTTGAAATACCAAAACTGTTTAACCATTTTGCTGGCCATCCTCCTGAATTTAAAAAAACAACAACACACAACATAGGTCCAGAGGTACAGATGCATGAAACAAAATAACAGATCTCAGTGGGAAAGGGGGAGGGGTGTTGGGAGGAAGGGAACAGGTAGAGATTAACCAAAGAGCATATATGCACAACCCATGGACACAGACAATTGCATGGGGAAGGCGGGGGTGGGCGGGGGTGGGCGAAGTGGGGCCAAAAGGGAGAAAATGGGAGACAACTGTACTGTAATACTGTCAACAATAAAATACAATGTAAAAAAAAATAAAAATAAAAAACACCTATATGCTGTACTGACTTAATAGAGAGTACCAAATAGTTATTAACCTTTTATTGCTGGCATGAGGTCACCATTCGAATATCAAATATCCTGTACCGTATACTGATGCCGCCAAGGGCTTCTCAGACTGATGAAACTGTCCCTATTCACTGTAGCCTTTAAGGCCCAAATCCAATAGTTTCCGAGTCTATGCAATTACTTTGATTGGCTTTCCGTCTGTCCCTATCGTTTCTTGCTGGGCCTAATAAGCCCTCCAGTGCATTCTGCCCCTGCCTGCCCCTGCCTGCCCCAGGGCGCTGCTTTCCATCTGCTGCAGGCGGACATCAGGCAGCCCCATTTGCAGGAATTGTGTCTGAGAAGAAAGCAAACAGGTTCTCAGCAGAGGTCAGTCGATCCTACTAGTGAGTTAAATGTGGGAGCTTTCTAGTGCTGAACGTCACCCCAATTTGAAGGAGGACACTCCACGACCGTGTCAGCTTATTTCCTGGGTTTTGCCTATTTTCTAGGTATTTGAGTTGCAAAATTAGAAACCTCTTAATATAGAAGGAATTATAATATTGGAAATGATTTTTCCTATTTTTAATGTCACACAATTTTATAAATATTTCTGTCACCTATTTATCTAGTTGCAAAGTAGACAGCTGCTTACTTAGTGGCTTAGTAAAATGTAAACATATTTTGGCAAGTACAGAGGAAACTGGATATTAATGCGTGTGTCACTAAATACTAACTTGGATATTTTCAATTTGATCCTATTAAAAACACCGAACCCTCTAGAGCAGCGGTTCTCAACCTGTGGGACGCGACCCCTTTGGGGATCGAAAGACCCTTTCACAGGGGTCGCCTAAGACCCTCGGAAAACACATATATAATTACATATTGTTTTTGTGATTAATCACTATGCTTTAATTATGTTCAATTTGTAACAATGAAATTGGGGGTCACCACAACATGAGGAACTGTATTAAAGGGTCGCGGCATTAGGAAGGTTGAGAACCACTGCTCTAGAGCACTACAAATTAACTTACAATGAGAAAATAAACTTTACGAGGAAAATTGAGATATCATATATACAGATGGCTCAATACGGAAAAGCGAAAGAGGTGAGCAGGAGCCCGGCCAGTGTGGCTCAGCAGCTGAGCATCAACCCAGGAACCAAGAGGTCGCCGGTTCGATTCCTGGTCAGGCACATGCAGGAACCCATGACATTCCGTAAGTTCTTCTCTCCCCGGGGCCTACATCATTGCCGGACAGAGTGTGAGCACAGGAAGCACACGCACTCTCTCAGGACACGAGGATACCCGCTCACTTCACTTAGCTGGTTGCTTATCTGAGTTAGTGAGGAGCAGGGGTGAGGGTGGGAAGCTCTCCTCTGAGCACATACCTCGAAACTGACGGGCATATTTCGCTTCAGAGCAATTTCAAACACTAAGCTGATCTCAGATTTATTGGCGTCTTTGTCATCATCCATTTCTTTTCCGGATTCGCCATTCTAAATCACAAAAAAACAGGATGGCACTGAGTCTTCACTTTGGAACACACTTCGCACACAGTCTACAGTCAGGAGGCCCATCTAACAGAAAATACAGTAGGAGACAGAAACCCCAGACTGATCCTGTGGAGTCCCTGTAAGGCCCAGAGGTTCTCAACCTGTGGGTCGAGACCCCTTTGGCGGTCAAAGGACCCTTTCCCAGGGGTCGCCTAAGACCATCCTGCATATCAGATATTTACATTACGATTCATAACAGTAGCAACATTACAGTTATGAAGTAGCAACGAAAATAATTTTATGGTTGGGTCACAACATGAGGAACTGTATTTAAAGGGCCAGAAGGTTGAGAACCCCTGCGTAAGCACAGCAGGCAAGAGCTGCTCTGAGGCTCTTTGTTGTTTGACTTTTCACTTTTTCCCCTCAAAGTAGAATAAATGCCAAGCGTGGAAGTCTTTTACTCAACCATACACCAATTTGAGTTTATCCAGTTCTCTAAAAATCTCTATCCAGCCCAACCGGCATGGCTCAGTGGTTGAGTATCAACCTATGAACCAGGAGTTCACGGTTCAATTCCCAGTCAGGGCACATGCCTGGGTTGTGCAGGAGGCAGCTCATCAGTGATTCTCTCATCATTGATGTTTCTATCTCTCTCTTCTCTCCCTT